CCAAAACCGGCGCACGAAAGTGCATGGTTAATGGTTGTAAAAACTGAACTGAACTGAACATGTCCGGAGATTTCGCCACAAATGAAGATACTTCCATAAATAAAATTGTGAAATTCAAGAACGAGTATCAATATGAAAACTGAGATGTTGGCAACGTCTATCAATCACATCAAGTTTGATGCTTGTTGTCGGGCAAGTTAAGTTACGCTAAACCCAGGAGCAAAATTTGTGATTTTAAATGTGTATATTCAACACCTCTCCCCGCAGAACGCCAAAATGTAAAACTTCTTCATCTACACCAAGTAACATAGAACGAATGATCTACGAACTCAACTGCTGACACACTATAACGATGAACAAACAAAAAGATGATATTTATTGTCCTACTTTGTTTGAGCCTTTCTGGTTTTCGCTGATCGGACTAGACTGATCCCAATGTGAAAACGGAATGGCCCAGTCTGGCAGTACTGATTGATCCTGGAGTTTGCTCGTTCCATCCGATTGTCCTGGGGTATTTGGACCCACAACTGGTGGTGGCCGCGCAAGCGCTGTGAGTCCGCGAGCGGTGACGGGATTGGCCGATGGGAGGGGATGTGCAGTGGCAATACCCACACTGGCAGCTGGTGCAGAAGCACTTGCCTCGGTCAGATACAGACCCAGTGGACCAACTTCCATCATTCTGAGAAAAAATATTGAACCGTATTTGAGTAAACTCTCCCGATAACGTTAGATGACTGCAACGAGTAAGTACAAACGTTTGTTTAACGAATGACATCTATCAGAAAAGCGAATCGGTAAAATGAAAAGGGCTGAAATGCCGGTGTTCTCCAAGGCTCAATGGTGAAGCCGAGAGTGGATTCATTATTATTTCTATTTTAATTGGGTAGAATAGTGTAGGTGATTCTCGGGAAAAGGGACAGCGAATAATCGAGAACCGTGAGAAGACAGCTATCGAAGCAGAAGATTTAGTTGACAGTGATGATGGTTGAGTACACTTCCAGACCAATAGGATGATGACCTATAACGTTTGGCCACTGTCACCGAAAGAGATGCTCCGAGGGTCTTTCGATGAGTGAAAAGATGTGTTCGAGAAAGCGCTGTCAAAACCTCACTGGCTTTGGACCACTAGAATGACACCAAGATGTCCGTTTATTATTCTGAACACTACGTAAATGTATAGCAGTGTTTGGATTGCATTTATATTCAGTGATCATTTGATTAGCCATGCCTCGGAATAAGATAACCTCGAAATGCAAAGCTATTTACAACGATTTAGAATGAGTCTGAAATGGCGGTGGTGGTGCTCGAGTGGTA